CCTCGTGGTGATTTTCTTTTCTTTCCTCTAAAACAGTGTATTTTTGATTCTTGTCTTTGAATTTGTCTAACTCTTGTTATTTTTCATGTTTCAGTTCTGGTTCTATTCTCAGTAATAATTCCTGTTTTTCATCACCAAGTATCCTGGGTCCGGATTGTATCTTTAATTCTCCCCTACATAGTGGGGGGGGGGTGATGTAAAAAAGCATATGAAAATGGCAAAAATGGGAAAATGATACTCTTGAAATGGGTGTACAAATGATACTCATGAAAGAGTCCATCTTAGATAGTTATGTGAACCTAGCTCAAACCAATAAAAGCATGGTACAGTCGACTCTGAGATAACCCATACCCCTTGGGAGAAAGGTTTTGGTATGGGGTAATAGAATCATGGCTTAGGGGTGAGATCTGTATTAGCCCATGATTCATGGGTTAAGGCATAAAGCTGTATTAACCCATGATTTTATGGGTTAACACAGATATTGTTCTTATGTTTTCTTTGATTTTGATATGGCTGTACTTGTGTAGCGCATATGCATTAGATTATTTGCTTGATCTATCTACAATTTATTTATTTATGTGATTCTTCTGAGACAGGAACAGACTCTGAGCTAGAAAAGAAAAAAAATCACAGGTGGTCTCGGTCTTCAGAAGAGGTCCCGTGTTTGAAGAAGTCGTGTATGCTTGACTGGCGAGCATTTGTGATAAGTCGATCGGACAAACCTTTTGAGTAGTTGTGCAACACGTGGTTGAGGTGATTGGCAACCATTGAATATTCATCTTGAATGTAGTTGTTGATCAGAGCAATTGCAGAAAAAACCGATTTTGCTGTTGGTTTAACTCTTGGTTCAGGATCCTCATCATCGCTTTCGGAATCGACGGAGTTGTTTTTCTGACTTTCAAATATCTCTTCAGTGGTCCACATCGCAAAAGAATTGTCCTGAGGGGGGTCAAGTAACTCTTTGATGGTCATTCGATTGGTTGGATGAACAAGCCCAAAAGATTGGAGACAGCCGATCTGATCCTCTAGGCCAGCATGCACTTCATCGACATCCACAACCGTTCTTTTTGAATCGTTCAACAGGTTTCCAGGAAACATCTTGGTGTGATTCCAGCAATTGGCGATTGTTCTTGGGGTGACATTGTCCCATGCCACACGACTTATGTGCATTGCAGTCAACTGATCTATAGCATAAACTTTAGTTACTGGTATTCCATCATCGTATCATTGAATTGATCGTGATATGAATTGTTGCTTGTAGTGCGACTTGAACGCCGAAACTATGCCGGCATCCATTGGTTGAACATGTGCAGTCAGGTTGGGCGAGAAGAACTCAAGTCGGATATTTGAAAGGCCACCTTCTGGGGGAGTATGAGCAGCGAAGTTATCAACGAATAGCATAATTTTTCGTTTTTTGTTTTTCATCTTCTGGTCAAATTTTTTGATCCAGTCTTCAAAGATGACACTTGTCATCCATGCACGCTGGTTGCTGTAGTATTCGAATCCAAGCTGCGCTCCTGTTTTCTTTTGAAAGGCACGGGGTTTTGCGTACTTGCCGATGATGAGGAGGGGAAGTTTCTCTGACCCATCAGCATTGGCTGTAACAGCAATGGTGATTCGGGTCTTGTTTCCTTTCAGTCCCGATCCATGTTCCTTAGCTAAGCCTTGATCTGGAGGCATTCTGAAACAAATTTTTGAGGATTAGAACCAAGCCAACTTAAAAAATTGCAGAAGAACCAACCCCTTACCCATACATAAGGCCTGTTTCATCCATATTCCAAATATCCTTCCGATCGTACTCCGTGACTAGTTTTTGCAACCGCTCGCGTTCAGTCAAAATGTCTAGTTCTTCTGCCTGTGCAGCTTCTCCATGTTTTTTGAAAGACTTCAAGCGGTGACGTGACTTGAACAAAGTCAGCCAACCATCGCTTAAGGATAACCACTGGGAAGATGGAATCCCTTCTTTGCTGGCAAACTCCTGCCACTTTGCTCGGATAACATCACCAGTAATCGTCATTTTTGAGTGGAGGGCTTGGGTGACCCAAACATCAAGCATTTTTTCTATTTCTGGGAAACGCGTGGAGCGTACACGTTTTGAATCCGACAATGATATCTTTGCTTGTTCTCGGATTCCGTCTTCGGCCTTGACCCAAGCAGAAATAAGGGGTTGCTTCAATGCGATATCTGGATAGATTTTATTGAAGTGAGATGCCGTCTTGGTTTGATTTGAGCCGTTATTTTTGTGCCAGTCAAGAATTTCAACCTTTTGTGCCAACGTAGCGCGACCAGGTTTTTGGGATGATTTAGACTTCACATTCATCTTAGATTTGACCGAGGTGTTGTGTTTTTCAGAAGGTCTTTTGCATGGTTTATTCTGAGGAGACGGTTGGTTCTTCTTCTTCTTCTTGTTGGCTGGAGTGCTCGGACCGTTGAACTTTTGAATGCGTTTGATTATTTTTAAATCATTAGGTTGGATCTAAGTGAGTCGCCATTTGGTTTCAGTGGTAATCGATCCATGA